AAGGAAGTCCACAACAGCAGCAGAGACAACAGCAGCAGAGGCAACAGACGGCGCGAGCAGGGAGGGGGAGCACCCCTCGAAGACAGAGGGGAGGGGAGTGCCACGAGAGGCAAAAACAGCGATGGGTTGGCCGTCGAGGGAGTGAAACCAAGAGCCGCAAGCGTAGTCCTCAGAGAGTCGTGACACTCACGGGGTGCCTGACGCAAACCGTACACTGGCTGCCGGAGGCTCCATTGGGTACCCTCAAAAAACGACCGAGTAAAGCTACAAGGGCGGCGCAACCAGATCGCCTCGTGAAGGTTGCCCTGCAGGAAGGCTTTTGAGAAGTCGAGGGAGTGCACCTCGTAGTCACGCTGTGCTGATGTGTGTCCCTCTTTGCTGATACACGCCTCTTTGCTGATGTGTGTGCCTCTTTGCTGATGTGTGTGCCTCTTTGCTGATGTTGTGTGTCCTAATGTCCTTACTCTACTTTGAAACAATCCACTGTGTTTCAGCAGCCGAGTGTAGCAACGACGAGGATTGTGGGACTGCGTGTGCGTGTGGGTGGGTGAGCTCACAGGCACAAGCAACAGTTCCACTTTTCTAACTAACCAACCCCATTGCCCTACTCCACCATGGAACCACCCATGCCTTCTGCTACAGAGAAGGAGTGCATCAAGGAGTGTGGAAACGATGCTCCTTGCCATTTGGACTCTGTTAATTCTACTGCGTGCGCTTGCAACACGGTGTTTATGAAGTACAACGAGCCGGACATGACATGCTTTGGTGAGTTAGGCCTGCACTGGCAAGGTCTTTCCTACTGAGCTGTAGGCGATGCGATTCTGGAGTCAAACACATTGCAGCTAGCAACGCTGAGAGGCAGCGCTTGGAAGCTTTCCACCAGAACGTTGACTAGCTGCTTTCGCCTCCTCACTCCTCCCGCTCTCTCCCACCTGCCTGTCCCTATTCCCTACTTTCCCATCTCCTGCCTCCAATTCAATTCTTGCAATCCCTCATCCTCGTCACTAAACCTTCACTCACCGCCCATGATACGGCACTGCCCCACCAATTATTGTGTCATCGCCTGCTCAGGCCCGTACCTCCCGACGTTTGTGCTACTGTGTGGGCGCAAATCAAAGAACCCTGAGCAGTTTAGCTTTTACACGGGGGTGCCGACGGAGCAGGCCAGTGGCAGCAGCGTGTGCCACAACCTCAACCCCGACATCGACGCCGACGGTGACGTCACGGTGGTGCGCTACCACCGGCAACAGCAACGCCATGTGCAAGAGCCTCGAGTTCTTCACCAGCCCAAACTGCACGGTCCACTCGGGCATGACGGTTGCACGCCCTGCGATGAAGGCCGGTTCCTACCCTGACACAAAAAGGTGTGTGAGAGTGATGCGCATGTTGTGTGTGGTTTAGTCTGCTATACTTGTAGCACATGGGTGTAACGCCCTTCGACCACCAGAGTTCGCTTGGCCGTTGCAGCATGGATGGAGGAGTGCTTGTTGCAAGCCGTCCTCATCGTTGGTCTTCCCCATTCCTACCTCTCCCCTCTCTCAGGCGTGTCAAACTCACCGACTCACCGCTATCAGTTGATGTGAGATCAGTACGTGCAAGCGCATGCGTGTTACCCTCGGGATATCTTCAATTCAACTGAATTGTTCCACGTGCGCGCCACGCCACACAAACCATACCGAGCATTCAATATTTGTTTTGTTCATTTGTCACAAGTTCAATGACGTGCCACACACCGAACCGAACCTCTTCCACACACCGAACCTCTTCCACACACCAATCCACTTCCACACACCAAACCAATCCACACAGCAAACCTTTTAAATGCCAGAGAAGATTTTCTCTGACCCTTGCCTCTAAACGCCTTCTAGTTCTTTTCTGACCAGTTGTCTCCTTGCGCCTGCATTGTTTGTCCCTCTGTACTGCCCACAACAGCCACGTGTCACAAGCATTGCGGAGCTGCTGAGTGCGTTGTGAAGGAGGGCCAGCCGCAGTGCTAGTGCCCCGAGGGCCTCATGTTCAACGCAGCCAAGAAGCTCTGCTGCGCTGCTCCTCCCCATAGGTGCCTTGCTGTCTGTTGCATGCTTGCCAACAAGAGAGAATCTGCCGGGCAGCTTCTCGCGCTGGAGTGCTTGTGGTGCTTTTGTGTCATCATCATGCCCCCCCTCCTTCCAAGCCACTCTCTCTCTCTCTTTCTCCACACTTGCTGCCCCACTCAGCCTCATGTCCTTTCCCCTCTTCCCCACCCCCCATGTCTTGACGATGCCAGCCAAGTGCAAGCCTGCCTGCACTGGAAATACCTAGTGCGCGTGGGAGGGAGGAAGGTCAGTGTGTCGCTGCAGGGAGGCTTCCAAATGGTGACGTGCACAAGTAAGAGGGAGAGGGATGAATGCATGCTCTGCTCTGTGCCTTGCTCTCTTCCAAGCTCGTGCAGCTATCTATCGCCTCCCACCACCTCCACCACCCACGTTCACCTGTTCCCAACACACATCTCGATTCCTTAACTTCCTTTTATCATCTACTTTCTCATTTCACTTCTTACGGTGTGGCCTGCCCTCCATTTGCCTTTCCCCCTTGTTGCAACGCAGAGAGCTCTTTGTGATCATGTTCACGAGGAAGAGTCTGGTGGGCATGGGAAGAACGACAGGCCATGTTTTATGGACAGGGGGCAGGGAGGTGCAAGCTGGCAGCGCCCGAAATGTGGGCAACTGCATGTGGATGCTCGGAGGCCAAAAACCAACTTTTGCTGACGGTTGGCTGAGTTCTTTAATGCGTGTGGTACTAGGAATAGAGTTTCAAGTGTGTGTGCTAGCTGGTATTCTGTACCATAGGAAGTGGTTTTAGTTCCTTGCACGAAATATACTGCCAAGCTGCCAAAAAAATGCACTAAGGTAGGGAAAGGAAGTGGGAAAATATATTGCACTGACCGAGTGAGTCAGCAAGCTGACCGCGGGCAAGGAAAAAAATATAACCCACTCAGAAGGCATGCCAATTGGGAGCATCAGCACTAAAATTTTAGGGTTGAGGGTCCCGAATGGCATGGCGTAAGCGATGGGTATTTTGTTTTTTTTGCCCGCGGTCAGAATGCTGACCCACTCGGTAGTGTCGTCTAGCGAAATGGTAGTGCTACCGAGCGCTACCGAGTGAGATGTATTGAACATAATGTAAATGCTGTACATAGGCGAAGAACGCACTAACGAGAACTACATAAGGGTGGAAGAGTGATGGGAGTAGGAGGGGGGGTTGGGCGGTAACGAAGCAGCCGAATAGGCAGTCAGTCAGGGATGAGATGGGCAGGTGGGCGGGTTGGCGAGCTGGGGATGTCAAGAGTGGTGCATGCGGAGCGGAATGATGATGACTACCGGTAGCAAGGATGAGATACAAATATGCAACCCTAAAAGGGGGTTGTACTCTAGTGATTACAGTAATAACCCTTGCATATTGGATGAGGGATGTGATGTGACATATTTAGTTACCGAGAGTGTGCCAGTATTGGAAATCTGTTTTTAGAACACAAGGCCGAAACACACTTTCTCTAAAGCATTTACGGCATAAAAGCAATGGAGTTAATACACTACCCATCTCTAAGTACCTTAAAAATGGATTGTTTTATCTCAGGCTTTGGACATTTATTGAAGCCTTGGAGCATTACTACCAGTCAGGAGCTTTGGGCCACTTGAGGACAGCCGAATTGATGTCCTCCTCTCGCTTCGCCTTGTCCTTGATGAACCAGTCCGCACACCCGCCCCGCGTTCAGCTCCTCTATGGGCACGCCCTCCTGCTCTGAGATCACACGCAGCAGGTTCAGCGACGAGATCTGCACCCCACAGTACACAGCAATCCAGTTTGATGGAACCGTAATAGCCACACGAGTCTCTGCGCACCCCAAAATACGTGAGACACGTATTCTGGTGTGCAGCTTTGTAACAACAGAATGGTAAAGACTGTCATAACCCCCCTTGCCTGCCATCTCGATCTCGCATTATCATCTCTCCTTCCTCCTCGCTCCTTCCCACTGTTGAGTGATGCTACCATTCGCATTCACGTCTGTCTGCCTCCCATCATATGTTCGTGCGTTGCATGCGTGTTGTGAGTGTGTGCAAGAATTTGTGTTTTGTGCGGTTTGGTTTTTCTGAGTGTGTGTGAATGTTATTTGGCTTGAGCAGATATCCAAACTGACTCCTCTGCTCAAGAGCTTTCCGACGAACCAAGTATCGCTTCAATCGGAGCACGAACAAGAAAGTTATGAACGTTGGAGTTCGTATGCTTTTGATATTTGGTTGTGGTGACTATGGGAAGTTGTGGGGTTGACTCAATATGGGGTACAGACTTTTGGGGGTTGGGAAATTCGTCTTTTCTACTGTAGTTGCTGCCAAATGGTTGGGAGAAACCAAACCAGGTTGGCAAGTGTGGCCAAGTTGGGTTGAGGTGGATTGTGGAGGTTGGGATAGTGACAAAGGTCAAAGTTGGGTTGCCTATGGGGAAGGGAATTGTATGGCATGGGGTTTCCTTGGTTGGGGACTCTCTTGGGACCTTCCCTCTCGTCCTCCTCATCCCTTCCACCTGGTTTAGTGCTACTCTAATTCTCTTGTGTGAACTTGTGTGAACTTTGTGATTGAGTTAAGTTCTTATGGCAGCATACCCCCCTGTGCGCCGAAATTTATAAGTCGAGATTTACTTCACCTCTTGATACGTTTCAACTTGGGAATTGTAGCCACGGAGTAGGGCTACAACATATCTGAGTTTGGTGAAGTTTTGACAGTGCACTTTTCGTCGACGGCGTTTCTTGTGAGCGCAACTATTCTGTCCAGAAATAGGGACCAACGATTTTGAGAAATTTAGGCACCTAATTTTCATAGACTCCGTCCTTAGTCTCTAACACCCACACCATCCTCTCCTCTTCTCGTGGTGCCCTTCTCAACAAGACACATAATACATTCCATCCTTTTGGACAGCCACCATACTTCATCATCAACCCACACATGGCAAATCAACATCCCACCATGCCCGTTGCTCATCCCACCATGCCCGTTGCTCATCCCACCATGCCCGTTGCTCATCCCACCATGCCCGTTCAAAATCCCACCATGCCTGTACCTCATCCCACCATGCCCGTTCCTCATCCCACCATGCCCGTACCTCATCCCACCATGCCCATTCCTCATCCCACCACGCCCGTTGCTCATCCCACTATACCTGTTCCTCATCCCACCATGCCCGTTTCTCATCCCACTGTGCCCGTTGCTCATCCCACCATGCCCGTACCTCATCCCACCATGCCCGTTCCTCATCCCACCACCGCGCCTCGCAACTCACCGCGTCTCGCATCTCACCGCGCCCCGCATCTCACCGCGCCTCGCAACTCACCGCGCCTCGCATCTCACCGCGCCTCGCATCTCACCGCGCCTCGCAAGTCACCGCGCGTCGCAACTCACCGCGCGTCGCAACTCACCGCGCGTCACAACTCACCGCGCGTCGCATCTCACCGCGCGACGCATCTCACCGCGCGTCGCATCTCACCGTGAGGCACGCCAGGAATCGCTCGTGCGCGTCGAGCCCCGCCAGCTCCACCAGCCCGGCCTCCTCCAGCGACAGAAACGTCTCCGGCCCGCCCGCGCCGCCTATGGCGCGCACGGCAAACCGCGAGGCCGGCGGGGGTCGGCTGAATATTTTTCGTGCGGGAGGAGCAGATTGGAAGTGGAGCGACAAGCGTGGTTCGTGCGGCGCATGGGGCGATCGGAGGACGGACGCGGAGCGGGTGGAGGGCGGCACAGATCGGCGGACAAACGCGCAGTGCGGCGCGGGGAGCCACGCCAATGAGGCGGCCATATCGTTCTGACAATTGGATTGTGAAACGTGGAGGAACTGGAATGAACTTGCTGGAGTGTCACGGGCAGGGGCGAGTCTTTAAAGCCCAAGACCTGAATTACAAAGAAAAATAGGCAAACTGTGCACAGTTTGCCTACCGAAACCAAAGTTGACCTCCCGAGCCAGGATGGTTACCAAAAAACGTCGCATCCCAAAAAGACAGAGTCGTAGAGCAGAACGCGTCTACTTGGCGAGAGTCCCAACCACCCTTTGCTGTAGAGGAAGGGAACTGCCTGTGCACAGTTTGCCTGAAAATGGTAATTCAGGAATGTCTTTGCGGCTAATACGCGGAACTCTAAGCTTTGCCAGATGCAATTTCCTACCTACGCCCCCGTTGCAACACTTGCATTGCCCTCATCCCAAGCGTGAAAGGCGCGAAGCGCATACTATTCCTCGTCGCTAAAAACTGTCTCGAAAGGTGAACCCCGCTATCCCCTCACATCGTCCTCCCCCTAGACGCACCGTCGCCCTCGCTTCCCCCATTTCCCCGTCGCCATTGCCCTCCCATCGCCCTTACCCCACTCCCCTCCCGTCGCTTCCTCGTCAACGTCGTCGTGCCCCATTCCGACGCTTCGTTCACCACTCCGCGACCACCCACTTTCTCCGTTGTCGTGTCCCCACCACTCCCCACTATCCTGACAGGGGCGCCCACGTTTCCTCACTCGGGAAGCCCGTGCACACGCCCACGTTCCTCCTCCCCGCGCGCGCTCCTCTCGCCTCCCCGCGCGGCATCCTCTCGCCACCCCGCGCGGTCTCCTCTCGCCTCCCGCGCGGCATCCTCTCGCCGCCCCGCGCGCGCTTCTCTTGCCTCCCCACGCGGCCTCCTCTCACCATCCCGCGCGTGCTCCTCTCGCCTCCCCTCGCGTGCTCCTCTCGCCTTTATAGCGCGCGCTTCTCTTGCCTCCCCGCGCGGCCTCCTCTCACCTCCCCGCGCGTCCTCCTCTCGCCGCCCCACGCGTGCTTCTCTCACCTCCCCGCGCGTGCTCCTCTCGCCTCCCCGCGCGTGCTCCTCTCTCCTCACCTTGCGTGCTCCTCTCGCCTCCCCGCGCATGCTCCTCTCTCCTCACCTTGCGTGCTCCTCTCGCCTCCCCGCGCGTGCTCCTCTCTCCTCACCTTGCGTGCTCCTCTCGCCTCCCCGCGCGTGCTCCTCTCTCCTCACCTTGCGTGCTCCTCTCGCCTCCCCGCGCGTGCTCCTCTCTCCTCACCTTGCGTGCTCCTCTCGCCTCCCCGCGCGTGCTCCTTTCTCCTCACCTTGCGTGCTCCTCTCGCCTCCCCGCGCGTGCTCCTCTCTCCTCACCTTGCGTGCTCCTCTCGCCTCCCCGCGCGTGCTCCTCTCTCCTCACCTTGCGTGCTCCTCTCGCCTCCCCGCGCATGCTCCTCTCTCCTCACCTTGCGTGCTCCTCTCGCCTCCCCGCTCGTGCTCCTCTCTCCTCACCTTGCGTGCTCCACTCGCCTCCCCGCGCGTGCTCCTCTCTCCTCACCTTGCGTGCCCCTCTCGCCTCCCCGCGCGTGCTCCTCTCTCCTCACCTTGCGTGCACCCTTCCTCTCATCCACCCTTCCTCTCATCCGCCCTTCCTTTCATCCTCCCTGCTGGAATCTAAGGTCGTGCCCTGCTGAAGGGGACTAAACAACTAATGTTTGTTCGAGTGCATGTGTGCCTGCTCAAACTGTGCACAGTTTCCCTGGCACGTTGCTTCTCAGGTTTGTTGAATTTGGGAAGAAGGGCCCTGCCTACTTTTTACAACCAATCAGCAAGTGCACAGTTTGTTGCGAACTGCTTTCAGTCGCAACGTGTTTTTGAGGCTTCGCCTGTCACTCAACCCATCCGAACCTCCAACTGCCAGTCTGCCGAACCTAGAATTACTCAGTTGACTTCCGTTGAGTAATTTGTCAGAATATGTTGTTTGTGTAGCCTGCAGTGGGGTACTCAATAGTGAGTACAGCCCCTTAGGGTTTGCTATTTGTATCTTGCTGCTTGCTAGTTCCATCATTCCTTCCTCAATTCTGTTCGTGCACACGTTCCTAGCTCGTACTTGGCGCCTCCTCGTTCTAGTCCTACTGTGGCCTAGGCTACTAAGCCTAGGCCGTACTCCTACAATCTTTGACATGGTATCAGAGGGCGGCATGTCTGCCGCCTTCCTGTGTATGGGCCCACCACCCGCTTCCGCTGCCGTACTGTCCGCCGCGCGCCCCGTGGTGCGCGGCGGCGAAACCCTAATTTCTGCCCGCCGCGCGCTCGGGGCGCCTGGCGGTTTTCCCTTCCGTGGCGCCCGTCGTGGTGCCCTTGGGGGGGCCTCCGCGGTCCCCTCCCGTCGAAGCGCCCGTCGAGGCGCTCTCGGGGACCCGCGCGGCCTCCCCTCCCGTCGCCCGTCGAGGCGACCTCGGGGACCCGCGCGGCCTCCCCTCCCGTCGCCCGTCGAGGCGACCTTGGGGGCCCGCGCGGCCTCCCCACCAGTCGCCCGTCGTGGCGACCACGGGGGCCGCGCGCGGTCCCCTCCCGTCGCCCGTCGAGGCGACTTCGGGGGCCGTGCGCGGCGCCCTCCCCGTCGCCCGTCGAGGCGACTTCGGGGGCCGTGCGCGGCCCTCCCCGTCGCCCGTCGAGGCAACTTCGGGGGGCCCGCGCGGCGCCCTCCCCGTCGCCCGTCGAGGTGGCTCTGGGGGCCCGTCGCGGCGCCCTCCCTGGTGCCCGTCGCGGCGCCCATGGGGGGGGCCGCGCGGCTCCCTTCTCGTCGCCCCTCGGGGCGCCCTGGGGGCCGTGCGTTTTCCCCCCCCGCGGCCGCCCCTGGAGCCGCCCGCCACTGCAGCAGCAGCCCCTGGAGCCGCCCACACCTGCAGCAGCCGCCCATGGAGCCGCCCGCCACTGCAGCAGCCGCCCCTGGAGCAGCCCGCACCTGCAGCAGCCGCACCTGGAGCAGCCCGCACCTGCAGCAGCCGCCCCTGGAGCAGCCCGCACCTGCAGCAGCCGCCCCTGGAGCAGCCCGTGCCTGCAGCAGCCGCCCCAGGACCCGCGCGAGCCGCCCCTGCAGAAGCCCGTCCCGTCACCCCCCCCCCCCCCCCCCCCCTCCCCCCCCCCCCCCCCGTGCTGCCCATTCCTCCCATTCCACCGTGCGTTCCGCGGTGGTTGGGGTGTGGGGTGGCGAGCATGGGGGTGAGAGGTGTGGGTTCTCCCCTCCTCCTTTTTCGTCTCCCACTCCTGCAGCTGCCGCTGAGGGGGGTGGAGGTGTGGGAGTCGTGGGGAGTGGCACTAGGGGGGTGATGTGGGAGTGGAGCTAGGGGTGAAACTGGGGGTGTGTGTAGGGGGGTGTGGGACAGTTGGGGGAGGTTGAGTGGAGGCAGCCGTCGTGTCGTCCGCAGCGCCTGTATTCCGGGGCCCTTGTCGCCGGTAGCTCAGAGAGCCTGCTGCACCTGTTGCCCGTGGGTCCGTTGCTCCTGCCACTCGTCGCAGCCGCAGAGCCTGTTACTCCTGTATTCCGGGGCCCTTGCCTCGGTAGCCACTGAGAGCCTGCTGCACCAGTCGCCTGTGGGTCCGTTGCTTCTGCCGCTCGTCGTAGCCGCAGAGCCAGTTACTCCAGTAGTCCGGGGCCCTTGCCTCGGTAGCCACTGTGTCAGCCGCCACTGTGTCGGCCGCTTCTGTTGCTCGTGTGTCTGCAGCTTCAGTCGTCGCCTCCCATCTTCTCTCCTCTCACAGTCCCTCCTCCTCCTCACTTGCCCTCTGTGATAGCCTCTAGATTTGTTGATAGTTATGAACTATTGCTATGACTGCTCATTGTGCTGATTACACCCCACTTTGGCTATGGGGGTGTGTCAGAATATGTTGTTTGTGTAGCCTGCGGTGGGGTACTCAATAGTGAGTACAGCCCCCTAGGGTTTGCTATTTGTATCCTACTGCTTGCTAGTTCCATCATTCCTTCCTCAATTCTGTTCGTGCACACGTTCCTAGCTCGTACTTGGCGCCTCCTCGTTCTAGTCCTACTGTGGCCTAGGCTACTAAGCCTAGGCCGTACTCCTACTATCTTTGACATAATTCAGGTCTTGGGCTTTAACTCAGGTATGCTGGTGAACGCATCCTCGGTAAGAGTGAAGTGAGGTTCGACAAACACATACCAACTACATATACGTGAAACCTGTTTGAAAAATAACTATAAAATCTTTGTGAATTCCCTCGTTTCTTGACATTGTCTTGTTCTCAAACGAGAAAACAGAAAGTTGCACTTTGAATAATCTAATATATGTTCGAACTGCTAGAAAGGCATAGTGCCGTCGTAGCGAAAGCCTTGATTGTAGAATAGATAGAAAGAGAAACTTGCAACTGAAAGAATCCAGAACAATGGATTGGATTGTGGCACCACACAGCAAGGTATTTATCCAGGCACCTAACCCTCCAAAGTCCACCCATCCACGCCAATAATGGTGCACCAATAATGCTACCCACCAATAACTCTTACCCTCCAATAATTCTAGACCCCCAATAATTCTGGCCCTACAATAATTGCACAATTATTGTAGGACCTGGAGTCTTATAAAGGGTACTACACTAATATCTAACAGCATATAAATTTACTTTATGATTGTATTTCCAACACGAACCCTTCTTGATTTTCATACAAAACAATCTCCCCTGAACGAGTTCAACAACCAATCAATTATAGAGCGTGGTGGTCATTCACAAGAACAAAGCACCTCTCGGGGTGGATCTCAAGATCACCACAGAGTCCGAGAACAAGCAAGGGGCCACAAGGCCTGTCCACATTCAAGTATATAGCAGATATAAGAGATGCAAGATTACAAGACATGCATGACAAGCATCTCTACAAAAGCAAGGGGCCACAAGGCCTGTCCACAAGCACAGATATAGGATATATAGTGAGATGCAAGAGTATAAGACAAAACATCTCTATGCAAGCAAGTGAGGGCCTGTAGACACAAGGCCGAGCTGGGTGCCGAAACGCTGGTGGTTACAAGGCGGCAACGCCTCGGTGAAGATATCTGCAGTGTTGGTCTCAGAGACCACACGTCGCACGAGTGCCTGGCCACGCTGCAGCAACACTCGCAGAAGGAGTTGGATGTGCTTCGCCTTTCCAACCAGTCAGGGCTCCTCGCACAACAGGACAGCACACATGTTGTCGACGAACAAGATTGAGGGAGAGCGAGGCCGCTCACCAAGGTCGGTGAGTAGTAAAGACAGCGAGCGAAGCTCCAAGGCAGCCATGGCCACATCGTACACCTCTGCCTCACAGCTGGAACTAGAGACGGACGACGCCCGAGTCGACCTCCATGATGAGTCCGAAGGCTGAAGCAATAACCCGGTGTAGACGGCAGTCACTTAGCGTCGTCGCCACGACGAGTCCGAGAAACCTGTAAGTATAACTGGCTGCTTCCCTTCAAGGACAAGTCTCATGCCTGATGTACTCGCCACATGCTTTGCCAACCTCTTAGCAGCGTACCAGTGGGAAGGTCGGTGGCTCCTAGTGTGGGATGTGGTTCATCTCCGCCTGAAATGTCACTGGTGCGTTGCAGAGTCCGAACAGCATAACTAAGTATTTGTAGGAGCCGTATCTGGTACGAAACATCGTCTTGTGGATCGAAGTACCTGCCATTTTTATCTGCCAGTAACCCGATCGTATATCAAGCTATAAAAAGACTGTTGCACCACGCATTTGGTCTAGAAGATCGTCTATGCGCAGTATGGGGTACTTATTTTTACGGTCTGTTTGTTCAATGCCCGGTAGTTGATGCATGCCCGTAAACTACCTTATGGCTTTGGAGTGAAGAGAACCGGTGCATCGTAGGGAGAGGTGGATGGGCGGATCAGTTTTCTGTCCAGTAGGTACTCTACGTGCTTCTTCATGTCGGTCAGTTCGGTCGGGCTAGGGCAGTATGGTGAACGGGAGACGAGTTTCGCACGTGGCTCTTCCACGATTTCGTGCTCGTGGGTTCGTGCTGGAGGCACTCTTGTAGGCAGGTCATCTGGCATGATGTCTTTGTACTCCTCTAACACCTCCTGTACTGCTTCAGGTAGCTCCGCGTTCGACTTCTCCTCCTCTGCTGCTGCCATCACCATTACTAGGTAACCCATGTTCCTCTCGTTCACCGCCCGTTCGAACCGTGCAAGTGTCGTTTCAGATACATCCCCTATATACATCCAGCTTGACAGCTCCACCTGTTTCCCGTTGCTGTAGATGCTGGCTTTCCGGTTGACCCAGTCTATCTCGGGGTTGAATCGCTTCAGAAAATCACGCCCCAAGATAATTAATAATCCCTTGATGTTCGTCATCGGCATCGTCGGCTTCCAACTCAACACACCTATCTACAGCTACAGTGTTGACTCGCCGTGGATGGGAAGCTTCGTGCCGTCCACCATCGTTGCTGTAAACTGGGTCTCCTCCGAGGACTCCTCAATTTTCTCCATCGTCCTGCGGTCGCACACCGAGTGGGACGCACCACTGTCCACCATTTCCTTGGCGCATCGCCCTTTGCAGATCACCACGAGGAGTAGTGGCTGCTTACGCTCCAAGTATCCGAAGATGGTCCCATTTATAGGCTCATAGGGAACATAAAAATAATCATTCATATTCCCGACACCTAAAGCTGCACTCTCTACTTCCAACTCACCTAAGGGGTAGAAGG